ACAAACCCATCTAGGACACGTAGGCCTAGATCGAATTTTTTATTTCCTGTAAAAGCTATATTTCCAATCATTGTTCATAGACTCGCAAAATTTAGTAGTTTTGTTGCAAATTACTAGATCTTGGCCTACAATAAATGGGGCAAGTTAGGGTATAATACACACAGTCACTTTGTTCCGGAACCGTTACGAAATTGTTCCGTTCCGAAGCCAAATATTCCGAACCGAACCGTTCCGAATTTTTTTTGTTCCGTGACACCTCTAAAAATAAAAGGTTTATCTTAATTTTCATCTACTTTGGGGGGTTTTGTTTTAAGTTTTTGCATACTTTTTGTAAAACCAAAATTTTCTTCCAATTTTTTTCTAAACTGAAAATGAAACTCTGGCATCTTTTCTCAGGCTGGACTCATATGGGCACTAATATTGACACCTTTTTGAACTGTTTTGACTTACTTTAAGCGCACGGGTGCCTACTACGGCAAATAAGGTATATAGAATATATATAAATAATTTTTGCATTAAATTGTTGCCAATCGGTCAACATTACATAAAGGACCGTGTTTTTTACAGAATGTTTTCAATAATTGGTTTAAGAGAAAAACATTGTTGAATTCAGTTCTCCATACTGATACCTATCCTTTGTATATTTGGCATTTCGTATACTGTCATCCACTGATGAAAATTCCCTTATTTTTAACATGGGAAATCCTCACTTCAGCAAATCCATGTGTCATTATTTTTGTTCCAAACTGTAGTCAGGCATATTGAGTCTATTAAAGTGACTGTAGTATAAAGGGAAATTAGGAAATTTCCTTTTTTTGATTTTTGATTGCTCGTGACACCCCTGGTGCCAACTCCACAAGAAAACAACAGTTTTTCAATTGAATGGTGTCATATTGTTAAGAAATTATTAATCTTCAATATGATACATGGGATGGTTTAAGACACTCTATTAAATTTCGCAGATTTCACAAAATCTAGGAGCTAGCAAACATTTATAAGACATCTCGAGTACAAAAGGTTTGAGGCCTGTAATTAGTAGATGTGGGTCTAACATCCCTAAAAAGGCAACTCTTAAGTGACAAATTTGGGGCTACCACCAGGGGGCGCTTTTGAAATGCCACTAAAATTAGTTCTAAATGGCATCTCAAGAACATCAATAAAACCTTTGTCAAAATGTTCCTTTAGACCCTCTGAAACACTATGAGTCCTTAAGAGTAGCCAATCTCGGGGTTTAACCCATTTCTGAGTGAGTTAAAAGTCACCATGGATACGGGCATACACAATCAAAATGCTGTATCAGAGCCTGGTGAACTTGAATATATTTGAAATTCTGAATTATCCATAGAATATTTAAGAAGACCTTTCTAACAAGCCATAATACATCAATTTATGACAACTGAATCCAGAGAATATTGAACTTTTTGTGTCAATTTTGATCAAAAAATGTTGTCATAGATTGATGTATTATGTTAGAAAGGTCAACTTACATATTTTATGGATATTTCAGAATATCAAATATATTCAAGTTCACCAAAAAAAACTACCAACGGTAGATAAAAAATAACATGTATAAAAATTCTAATTAAACGAATTTTTATATTTTGTGGCCTCAATAAACCCTTATTTCTTTTGGAATGGCCTTAAACCCTGGTGCGCCCTGGTCCGCGAATCGAACATTTAATTTAGAGATTAGCGCACACGGGTGTGACTGTAAACCTCCTGTTCACTAGTGTATGAATTATGAATGTAGTTTCGCACAGGTGTCAACAGAAACAACAGTGAACCCTGCGAACCAGGGTTCCCAGGATTCGCATGCCTTCGACTCTTTCTCCAATATTGCCCTGTTTTAATAGTTATTTAATCATGTTCCTAAGCAGTTGTCCACTATATTTTGGGTTTTGGAGCCCTGCGCTTGGAGGATGATTATAAGTTCTGGAGAGTTGAAAGTATAAATGTGATCAATTGTGGAAATAAGAGCAAGAATGTGCTGCCATCTATTTTACCAACAAATGTATAAATTATGTTTATAATTATGAATATGTTTGCCTTATACATTTCAGACAATTCATTCACATTCCAAGCCTCTTTAAAGATGTCGCCTCAGTTAATTGATGTAGATTGGAAATTTCAAATCATGAGAGAAATGTATTAACAAAAGAATTCTGCCGTTCCAATGCTGTTTGAGGGCTATTACACATGGTGATAATTATGCCACCATAAATTGGACATGAAGTCAGCAGTTGGTTTCTGTAACTTTATTTTGCTATTGTTACCTTTTTCGCCCTCTCACCTTCAATGGACTTTCCAAAAGTAGAATGTGGTTTGATTGTTCACTTGTTTGTTTGTTCATTTGTTTGTTCACTTTTCCATTCAATGGTCCGGTTTAAGGTGGATCGAGTCATTGATATTGCATATCCTTTATCCATATGGGTTGAAAATCCTCTATCCTGAAACTTTTGTAAAAACCCGAGTGTAACAAGCCAGTTACAGACATGAATAATGAAAGAGAGTGTCCCATGCGGGAATCGAACCCAGGACCTTCCAGTTCAAACTCTGATGCTCTACCACCGAGCCATAAAGACTTAAGTAAACACAGCTAAGCTGTTGTAGCAAGTTGCTCTCCAGGGTCATTACACCATCCCCTTTCAAGGATGACGCCCCATTGTCACTCTGAATATACACATGGGTGATACCCACTTCTGACACCATTGTAAGGACACAAGGGTGCCTCTGAGGAGCTATAGTGTAACAAGCCACATTCAGACATGAAACAGAGTGCTAAATTCAATGACCCATGCTGGAATCAAACCCAGGACCTTCCACTTCATCAAATCTGATGCTCTATCACTGAGCCATAAAGACTTAAAGTCACTTCCAACTTAAATTTTCTGTAAAATCTTTCATCTAGAATTTTGATTTAACCAATACCAAATTGTTGAACTGATTATGGAAAAAACACAACCCACATTGAAGAATGTCAGACCATAAAACATCTTATTAGTTCTGGGGATAAAGTGACTAATTCATATTTGGAAACATGTCCTCATATCAAGTGCACCTTTTCAGACTTGAATTAATTTGGATTTGGATAAAACATCCTTCAGAATATATTATTTACCTCTGTATTGGGCTCAAGGAAAGCATTACAGTCTGGTTGTGTTCATTAATTGACCCCCCCCCCCCCTGTGTAAAAAAATGATTAATTAACTAGTTGAGAAACATAATGGACTTCTAGTAGGTTTCCACTGTAGGATCTACTTGACTTCATAGGAAATGTTATACAGACGATAAAAAGGGCAAATTTCTTTAATGCATTGTTAACAGAGCATTCAAGTCCGGAGTTTAAACAATGAAATCCATTAAGTTAGCTTCCGTTATTTTGCTTTAAGTTAGTTAAAGTAAGAAGGCTAATAGAAAGTTGTCTATAAGATTATAAAGCGGTTGCTTTGATTACTGTTCTAGAAAATCCTATATCCCTGTATATCTACTCAATATTCTTTTGTTAATTCATATATTTTTCACAAAACCCATATTTTCTAGAAGAATTATCAAGAAAAAGCATGCTTGCCTTGATTCTATGCAGCAGGAACACTCAAAACATTGAATTCTCTATAGTGAAAAATGTTTAAACCCAATAAACTATATATTGTTTCCTCTTGAAGGGCTTGCCTCACATCTAAATCTCATATCCTTTTACGCAAATTGATAATCTGAAAATGTAAATGGTATCGTACTGCAGTTTAAGTTAAGTAAGCTTTTGTAATATTTGTATCATTTGTACATTTTCCCTTTCAAATTTTAAGATGATATTTCATATATAATTTCACATGTAAAGTCTATGCTTGCATATCCTCATCCTCCTTTTCTCATAACAGACAAGTGCTGCTCCCTTGGATGTTTGACTTAATACTCACAGAGCAAGATGTTATAATTTAGAATTCCTGAAAACAGTTTTGTTATTGATGAATGAATTCTACAGAGTGGGCCAAAAAATGCATACACAATATAAATTGATCTCAACCCCATATGATTTCATGGATTTATTTGGAACTTGGCACAAGTAAAGTTCAAAGGGTTATCTTTCAGTTTCATGTATTATTAGCATTGCCTACAGTTATTTAATAGTAATTTGAGGAGGTGTTCAGTAGGGCCCCCTTCTTCTGGACAACGAGCCTTAGCCGCATTCACCATTGATCACTTGCTTTATTCAATGTCTCCTGACTGGGAGCATTCCAGTCTCTCTTTATCTTCTGTTGTAGAGTTTGCATAGATATAATTGATCTAGAATGCATGTAGACATTGCTTTCAAGGCAACCCCGAGCACAGTAGTCAATCTGGGCTGTTTGGGGGCCACATATCAGGTGGAATAAAAGGAGATGTTTTCTGTTTAAGGTAGTCAATTGTTGATTTCGCTGGGTGCGATGGTGCTCAATCCTGTTGAAAAATAAAGTCTCTGAATATGCGCCTAATCATATCTTTCCGTGATAGTCTACCAGGAAGTGTAATCTTGGATTGTTGTACACAAAATCTGCATTTTGCAACCTTCATTTTCATGAAATATTTACATTTTTCAAATATAAGTTTTTTTTACACTGTAGTGACTGATATGTCATTTATATGACATGATTATTGAGTCAATAAAAGATATATATAATATAAACATGGTACCTACATTAAGAGAACATTATTTTCCTTTCCTCTGATCTAAAGTCTCCTTCTCTTCAGTACCATGAATAAACCCCTGGGATTGGCTAAATAAAGGGGTGCAACCAACACAACCCCCCCCCCCCCGTCCAACACCCATGTGCTAAATACTTGCTATTTTCATGAAATTTCCATATACCCTCATTATTATTGTCTAACTTATCAAGGATTGTAGATGGTTCCCATATTCCAAAATTTTGAAAATCACTTGAAAAAAGAATTTTGGTTCAAGGATTACATGTCATTTTTCTGTTTTGTGATGACTTATCAATGTGCATATATGATTTCTTCTACAGGCATATTAGCTAACAAGTGTTATCGCAGTCACAACCTGGATGAAGAAGAAATATGTGAATGACATGAAAGATAAAAAGAATACTGAACCTACAATTCATAACTGGAAAGTTTCAGGTAAGATACTGTTTGGTAATATCAATGGCGCAGCCAGGATTTGACAGGTGGGGTTCGAATATTTTCGGCCAAATTTGCTTAATCTTAAATTTTGCCAAAAATGCTTAATCTCTGATTTGCTGATTGGTTGAGAAAGGGTCAGCGTGTTAGATTTGTCGGACGTTATATCCTAATCAGACAGTTTATACTCGGAAAATATGCTTTATTTGTATTTTACAAATGTTTACATTTTCCCAAATAAAATGAGCACATTATTGTAAGAATCTTAAGTTTTACACAAATAAAGTCCAGTATGCACTTTGTGTATTTTTAGAAAATAGACATGACAAAGAGTAATATGAGCCAAAAGATTCTGATATAGAGACGATTTTGTTAAGGTTGCGATCTGATACAACTTTTAAGAAAGAGTTGAGTAATATATTGTCATTTAAGAAACTCTCAGATAATATATTGCTATTGAAGAGGAAATGTATTGCCTTCTAAGGAACTGTGAAGTAATGTATTATCTTTTAAATTGCAAGACTATACTGTCATTTAAAAAACTACCAGGTCAGTTTCTGTCCTCATGACAATTGTCAGGTAAGAAAATGTTAGGTGCATAACTATTGGATAATAAACTATCATGAATGAAACTATTGTCAGGCATTTGACAGAAACAATGGCACATAAGAAACCACAGTCATATGCTAGATTCTTTCCAAAGGGATTGAATTAATTCAAATAATGATTAGCCAGAATATCACCACACGGATGGAGTTTTCTTATTCAGGTGGTTGAATGGAATATAAATTGTCCATGCCATGCATTGGCCAGTTTACCAGGATAAAAACCTTCAATTATGATGTCACGGCCCACTTAAGAATCATTTAGCTGATTTCTCAAGGGGCTAAAATGATGAAAATATTCAAAGGCTGAAGCATGTCTTTTATGGACCTTTTATCCTGTTAGATCAATTCTGTATTCTTTTGAAAGAATGGTACCATATTTTTAATTTCATTAATTTGTGTCGTCTGCAAGTGGAATTGATGCTATGACAAATTAATTGCATTCATCAGGTGACTTTATGTGGAAACTCTTCAAAAGATATAACATTGCTTCTGTGATCAACTCTTTTTCTGCAAGAAATTTGATCATTTTATTTGTTATAAGTAAGCACTAAGTGTAAATTTTGATTGTGTGAATTAAAGAATGCAGGTGTAAAAACATGATTTCTTCTTGCAAGGGCACATAGTCCTCCCTTTAGAATATCATAACAATGTTTATATTTTTATTTCAGCTTGGATGTCGTCAAATAAAGAAGTAATAAATTCAAGAAAGCTATCGTATTCAGGCCAGACAGCCCAAGAAAAAGAATCATGTTTGTGGACATTTCTAAATAAATGAAAATTGGGTGAAATCAGGATTTTTATCAAAGATAGTGTCAAAGTAAGTGGTTTTAAGCAATTAATACATTAAGTTCATTTATTATTTATCAGCACCTTGAAGGAGGAAAAATTGTCAATTTTCATTTCGTTTAATTTTCCCTTGATAATTGCTGCTTTAGCTTAAGCGTATTAATAGCTCTGACTTCTATAGCATGTAGCGTATGGTTGCAGTATTGTCTCCACTCGATAATTATGCAGCTTCTCTGTTTGCTGATTGGTTCTCTGCTTTGTTAAAAGTCATTAGGTATATCTGTTAGCAATGTCGTGTTTAGTCATCGGTCTATTCAGTAGCGTCTCTGCATAGAAATAATTGCATATTGGAAATATTTAGTCTTTTCCTTCAAGGTACGTAGATCACTTTTCATTTTTATATAAAACTTTGATCTTCTTTCAATTGTCTGTCTATACCAGAGGCTTCTTTATAATTGTTCATTTTGATCACTGATCAGGATCAAAATAAAATGATCACAAGCTAGCAGAATTATAATTAGAGTTTGACCAATTTCTAAGATAATTACTGTTGGGATATCATTTAACTTGGCCAGGCTAGTTAAGTGATTAAAGGGGATATTTGGAAATTATAAACTTGCTTCAGGCTTTTTGGAAAATTAGATAATTACTTGATAGATAGACTAGATGCAACAGTTGGTGAAGTGCAATTAGAAGACTCTTGTTTGCAGTAATCTAAGCAATTAGAATTATCATCAAAATTATTGTGTAATGATGTACAGCTTTGGAGTTCATCCAGGAATCTTCCACCGAACAACACTTTTATTTAAATCATGTTTTGAAATATACCAGGATGTAGAAAGACTAATTTTTCAAAATATAGTCTACATGTGTACACAAATAAGAATAACTGTCTTTTACATCGGGAAGAACTGTGGAAGTAGAAATCCCATAGTACATGTAATAGTATATTGTTTACAGATCTTCAATTTAATTCAAATAATGTTCCATACTGAAGTGCTTGGAAGAGGCTGTTTTGTTTTCTTTTAAGCAAAGAGTTCAAGGAACTATGACTGTGAATCACAATGGATTCTTTTCTTGAAGTCTAAATGAATTTTAAGCCTGACAAGAAAGTGTGGATTTTATTTCTGTTTTATGTCATGATATTTCAAAAGAAATTATGGAGATTTTTCATTAAGTCAGTTTGAATCCACAGCTTGGATGTAACTTAAGGAACAGTAGCACCATAGCAAGTCAATCATGTGTGTAAGATAAAGGAAACATCTCTGTTTATGCAAATATTAATGTATTCACATCTTTTACTTGTGCTTTAATGGGCCACATTAAATAAATGTGTTCAATTTGTACATTTCAACAAAAGAAAGATATATTTTACATATTAAGAATGTTGCATATTTTGCACATTTAACATAATCAGTCAAGTGAATTGATTAATACAAATGCCTATAATCAATCATTTATTCCTAAAATGGACATTTTGGCCTTTAAATTATCTATAAAGATAATTTTTAATTCAATATTTACTGAAAGTGACTATAACTTAAAGTGGCCACTTGTGTATCACCTCTATCAGTTACCTGGTGTTAATTATCCTGCCCTAACAAACAAACACACATCATCATTTTCAAATCAATTTCCAAAAGTTTGTCAACTTCTGAGATAGCCAAGGTCTGGCAGAAAATAAATCGCAAAAGTTGAAAAGAATTCATATCTATTATTTATTTAGCCAAACAAACATGTCCAATTTAGGGAAGATTAATTCATAAATTATTTAATCACTCAGCATTCAGTCAGAAAATTATAGACATTTTTCTTTTTTGAGACATTTCTTAATATATCTATAAATATATTATCTTTGGTTGTGTTTTTGTGGTGCAAAGCATTAAAGGGTTGAATAGATCTTGAATATTAACTGAAATGTGAAGTCAGAATTTACTTGCCATATAGATTACATGAAACAGATCTCCACAAGGCGTGTGGCCAAATCACTAATCTAAAATGCAAATAATTACTTGAATTTGAGTGAATGGCCTGATTGGCTCTCTTAAAATGAGACAGGAATTTTGGTATCTCGATTCTTTCTCTGATTATTGGTTAAATATCTCAGGTAATTATCATTGCAGTTATACAGGTGAGTTTAAGTGCGAGGCTTCATTGAGGCTCTCTCTGATTGGTTGAGAGTTTTAATTGATGTTGACATCTGGTTTGTGTGATATTGCAGGAATGATAGTGGTAAGCAGTTAGTTGAGCTCTTGAATAGATCAAGACATGTCCACTTTAGAGACCAGCCACAAGCATCACACACTGGCTAACTATAACACACAAGATCCAGCAAGTAACATGCATAACACATCTAAAGAAATAAAACACCAAAATACTTCATTCAGTTGTGACACTTTCTCAGAGGACTTTGAAAAAAACAACGATATGGAGTTTCAGGACAAGCAAGAGTCTGTAGAAAATGGACACAATAATAACAAATCTGAATCTGGAGATATAAATGAGGAATTCGATGAGGAGTCTGAGAGTCAGATTGATGTTGGAATGGACACTGAAATGAAACATTCTGCACCTGAAATAAACACTAATAAAAAGACTGAAGACATGAACTCTGAGTTAAGTCTGCAGGAAAGAGCATTCAGACATCATTTGGAAATGCGTCGCGAATCACCATTATCTCCAGAGACTTCACGTCTCCTTCGTGAAATCCTCCAAGGAAAAGAAAAACATTTCCAAGAGAGAATTGCCAATGGAGAAATCCCATCTTCTGACAGTGCTCTAATCTCAAAATTCCTTCAGCAGGAAAATCGTTTGTTACAAAATGGCAATGATGTTGAAAATGATGATGTGTCGCTACAATCTGTGTCACCAGCAGAAACGTCATCAGATGAAAGTGACCAAGAAAACAGTCAACCAAAGCTAATGACCAACTGCAGTGTTGATTACAGCAAAGCCAATGGCCAGTCAGGTAATACAGATCAAATAGTTAGTCATGACTCCATCAAAATTAAAGGGGAACGAGTTGATAATATTATATCTAGTCTGAGTCGAATTTCTCCTTCTCGGGCATTATCTGATATGGCAGGAAATCAAGTAGAGGGGCGAAGCAGGAAGCGAAAATCATACATTCCCCAGCAGCATGATGCCTCAGGTACTGATTCCTCAGGTAACAAATATTGCAAAACTGAAAAAGACTTTTTACGTGTCCAGTTGAAAGACATGCAAAAACAGCTTAAAACTATGCAAAAGAAATATGTTGATTTATATGAGAATGCTAGTACTGACCAATCAGAACTCTCAGATTATGACACTGAAAAAACAAAATTAGACAATTTTAGAAATGGCGAAAGAAAGGTGTTAAACTCTAGTCCATTCATGAATCAAGCAACAAAAATTGTTAAAGAAACTGACAGAAAAATTAACCTTGCTATGCTCAGTGAAAAACCTGATCTCCAAAAATTTGCGCATTTACTTAAATCTGAAATAGCATCATCAATTGGCAGTGTTGTGGACAATATTGTGTCAAAGTTTGTTGAAAAACAACAGCATGTTGAAGAAATGAAGAAAAAAGTTCAAGAGGAAAAGGAAAAAGTCCAACAGGAGCAGAAGTCCCCCCTTCAAAGACCTGGCTTATCTCCAGTTGGTCCAGTCGGCCCCCACTCTCATCCAATATTCCAGCCCCATAAGCTCCTCTCCCCCCATCAGCCTCCTCACCTTAATTTCAAATCCTCAAATGCCCAGATGAGTGATACCATGACTCATAATGCAATTAAATCCAAAGTAGCGGAAAAAGTTCACAGTCGTGTCACCGATAGTCAGCCTCAGTCTGAAAATAACTTAAGCATCAGAGTTCCATCTTTTGATCATGCCAGATTTGAAAGCCGTTTTCGCGAACGTGAAGGTCTCCCCCCTCATCATATCCCACCACATAGTCTACACAGTGCCTTCCCAGGGTTCCCATATTTCCCTTCAACACACCACCTCCCCCCTACACAGATACCCATGCTGCCCCCTCCTTACAATAAGGACATTGAGCAGACAGAACCAATTTCTCTTGTGATGAACACCCCAAAGAGGAAGCGAACAAAGGTAACAGACACCCGTCTCTCCCCAAGAGCTGCAAGACAGCTTCTCTCAGAACCCAATGGGAATGGCAGCATTCGTGATTTGAATCGTGAGTTTGGCATGATGCATAAAGAAATGAAAGAAGAGCTACAAAAGAGAGATGGTTTTTATCCATCCATGGGACTGAACCTACCAACCAGCGTAGCCATTCCTAACCCTGGCCTGATGCACTCTGATGTCCTGGCCATGTACTCCCAGAGAGGACCTGGGTCTGCCTTCAGTGAGAGGCCCCCCTCCTCCCACCATTCACCACCCACTGGAGAGAATGGATCACCACACATTGCTCGGGTACCATGTGATCAGTCGCCATTCCAAATGCGGGAGATGTCCAGTCTGAGCAGAGAAGACAACAACAGTAGCCCATCTGAGGGGTCTTACTACGATGGCTGTCAAATATCCTTTGAAAATATTGTCTGTAAAGTATATTTTTTTTATTGTTGTACACATCACATATGCCCAATCTATATTACTGACAAAAATGACTCTTCACATTTTAGTATTCGATCATTGTAGATTTATAATGCGAATTTTTCAGGTCATTTGATTTAAGGTTTTACAATAATTCATATTTTATGTGGGATAATATTGTATATCATTGCAGTTTAGTGAAATGGTTCTATTAATAAAGTCACATTTAAGCATTAGATGTCTGCAGTTTAGTATGCATCTCCTAAATTACCGCAAGAAATTATTCATTTTATGCAATTAAAGATAATAGGCACATTATTGTTTTTAATTTGATTCATATATGCAGAGTTGTATCTTTTATAAGCTGCCTGCATCTTTGGGGATGATTAAGTTTTTTGACTAAAAATGAGCATTAATATATTCATGATACATAATGATATGCCACTTCATATGGTACAATTATACCATAGAGGATAGATTCTAATAAAATCAACAAAAGAATTTTTTTATTTAATCATACAATCCTGTTTTATACAGATGAGCTTTTTAGTAACTTGTTATATAATAACTTGAAAGAAATATTCACATTTTGCAAAAAGATCCTTTAAATAATTTCACTCTGTTGAATGTATTAATTAAAAATATTTTTGAAAATGTTGAATTGTGGAGTAAATGAAAGTTAATCAGCTTTCGCTGTATGTGTAGAGTTAGATATATCTGCACATTGATACCTTTGAAACAGATGGTACCATTTACTTATTCATAATGTTTAATACAATAGAACAACATTCCCTTTTACAAATTCACCCAACATCTTGAAGCAAATATTTTAAATATTTATCAAAGAAAAAATTCAGAAATCCTGGATACTAGTTTGAGCTGCTTATTTCTGGTAATTAAAAAAAATTGATTCATATTTTGAAAAGAAATAAAACAATTGGGTATCTTTATTGAAATATTTGCAAAAGGAATTCATTGAATGTGATGAATGGTTTCAGTCTGTGTGATCAGCTTAGTAATTAATCTGTTTGTATATGGAGAAACAAGTGTCTTTGAAACACAAGACACAATATATGTCTTCATATTTCCACTTCTAGAAAATAATCAATGTAGTTTAAAGAATGTGAAAAAGCGTAGAATCAAGAGTCGTTCAGCTTAAGTCAATTAGATTGTATCTTATACAAACAAGCCAACTCATTAGAAAAACTTTTCATAAGAAAACCAGTTGTTTAACACAAAATCTATTGTCCATTAATATTTTAATTGGCTATACCCTTAATCCTTTTTAGAATAATTCTATTGTCTTTAATCCATTAAATCTAGAAGCTTTAAGTTGGTGATTTTTTACGACCAGTTACATTATTTATCTTGTGACAACTGACTACAAACTATTGGCAAAGGCATTTGTACGTATAAACATATTTGTTTCTTAATTCATTAGATCAGAATGTTCCCTTAGAAACATCATTAACAAAGCTTTAAAATGCACAATTTACTTTCTGAAACATGGGCAAATTTGCAGATGTTTGTTTTTACTTTACATTTGTTAAGATGACTCCATGCCCATTTGTATCCTTCTGTTCATTTTTGAATTCAAGAAAGTGAAACTGTCTTGGATTATCAAGGGGCCGCAATTCTTAAATGTCAGGCTAGTCATAGGGTAATAAATGAACCCCAGGATTAAGTGGCTCCGTACTAATACTAATTGTTGAGCTTCTTATACTGCTCATTTTATGACAACAGGCAGGTGCCATCATGTTGGGGAGATTTCCACTTGAATGGATAGTCTAAATGGCACACCGGACTGCCTGCAGTTTATAGCTAAAAAATATACTCTTAAAACACTACCCACTAAAGGTACAGTCACAAGGTTAATTAGGAAAAAATGACAAAAGATCCCCGATCACAATTAATTTGTTATTTTGTATTGTTTTTTGAAGGAATCGATCATTTACTATAGTTTTATAGGCTTTTGTTTTAAGGACTGGGCGCATTAGGGGTAGGAAGTTTTCCCGACAAAAACTGTTCACATTTTACTTAATGTGCCTCCAGTGGCTTTTAAAATACTATTGAGGAAAAATCTATTAATCGGGCCCAGTTTCCTTGATGGAGAAGATTAATTAACAAGATTGTGGCAGAAACATGATAGGTACTTTTTAGAAACCGGTCTACATGGACCTATAAAGATTTATTCTGAGTTTTCATTTACTACCAGATAAGCTGTTCATGGAACTCCATGGGGTACCATTTAACAAGATTTTACATTATCTTTTTTAATTAAAGACAGGTAAAAGGCTTGTTTACAGGTGTAAAAATAATCCAGGTGAAATTGTAGCGTTTATCTCCGTCATGCAGAATTTTCAACCATCTTGAATTACACTTTCGTCATTCTCACGGTTTTTCAAATTACTTTGCCAAAATAGCTATCAATATGAAGAGCAACTATGCAAATGAGATGTCATTGTTATAACAATTAGCCCCGAGACATATCTTTTATATATTTATGTACCGTTATGCTGTTCACTCATTATGTGTGCCTAAGGTAAAATTGTAACACTATCATTTGTAGCACAATAACCCACTCATAAAATATTTAACTGCTATAGACATTATTAATAATCAAACGACAGATAAAAAGTTTCATTTTCATTCTTTCAACAAGACTTCATTGCAAAAAATGTTAGTTTGGTCACTCTTCTTTCATACATCATACCATCTAATTGTGAACTGAATTACTTCACTGCTTCTTTTCTTAAAACACATACATTTTGTTATTAGATTCATTCCTTAATTTGATTCTTTTTAAGGACCTGGATTTGTGGGTGATAAAGGAGATATGTACATGTAGAAAATTGATTGGTGTGCAATAATCTATGATGTTATCACCCATATATATGAGTTTCATTTTTGAGAACTGCTCAGGCATATTTCCTTGTCATATAGTATCTTTCATAAATTCATTATAATCTATTTTATTGAAACTCAGAAAACATATAACCTGCATCGGGTGACATCTGAGAAATATTTTTTTTATTAAATTGTCACATATGGTACTCTGCACGTCTGTAGCCAGCTTTCATCAGGATGTTCCAGTACCAAGCATACAGAGCCCCCCCCCCCTTTCTGCCTACAGGCAAAAACAGAAAAGATCATGTTAATAAGGAGATCATTATTTAATTTGCAATATAATAAAGCACTGGGGAGGGAGGGAGGGAGGGAGGGGGCAGGGGTTTTGGTTTTAGGGGCCCAAATCTTTTTCTCGCAAGCACAGAAATGTGCCCCTTAATACTTTTCAGATCCGCCCCTGTAAAGTCAATAAGATGTTAGGGAACTTCCTTTAAAGTTTATTTTATTGGGGAGATTTATTTAAACATATGATCTCAGTGGGTGGAAATAATTGTAAAAAATCAAACAATATATCTTCCATCTCTTTCAATATGTCTACAAATTATATCTTAGAAACAAAGGTATTTGAACATGATCAATGAGCTCTTGGCAGTTAGGAATGAAATATTAAGAAAATATGTTCTAAGATTCTTATTGATGACTGTCAGTTGAGAAGCAACTTGTTGGATTAATCATAGAAGAATTCTATAGCCATCTTGACGACATCTAGAATGACATTTACGTGAATATTAGCCATATTTAATACAATCAATCATTTCTTTTATTGGAAGAACAAGCAAGCTAAGACAATTTTGTTAATCATCGTGAAGTTATTAGCTCTACCCCCTTGTGAATACAATCAAAAACTCAAGTTTTCTTTGATGACAACCACTCAAATATGAACTCAACACTTTCATCAAGTTTTTAAAAACATAAATGATAAATCTTAAGTTTGTATGAGTCATTGATGAAAGCTATTAGACTAACAAAATATAAATGTTTTTGGGTGTTATGACAATATGAAAGGGTTCTACAATGTGCATTGATTACCTGGCTAAAGAGATAGTATTTACTTTGATGTCTCATCTTGCCTGTTACCCAGGTACAAGTATACAACATCAAGTATACCACACATCTTAAGTGGCCTCATGTCTTACTCATGACAAACAACATCTTTACTGATAACCCATGACAAGTAACAAAAATACCTTGAATTTAATTATAATATTGTGTCTTAGATTTTCTCTTTGTGTCTTAACATATTCAGCTTTAAGGTTGGTCATGTTAGATTCAAGGAATGGAGAAATGAATGCAGTTTAAGGTTCTGTTGATGATAAATAATTGTCTCAGTGTATAAAATCAGGTGACCTGAAGCGGGACTTTTCCGAGATTAAATGATTTTATCATCCCCTTAGATGTAACATGTCATTTTTCTTTCTTCGTTAAGTAATTGGTGATTTTTCATTCATGTAAGGAGTCATTTATTTCTGTGGTAATTGAAATAAGATAGGTCTGAACATAGGAAGAGCTTCATGTATAAAAGACCAACATTATAATCCTTTCAGAAATTTCATAATTACAGTCACATCTTTCAAAATGCCAAGGAATGAGTGCAATGTCCTAAAATTCAAAGTTAACTTTTAATCAAGGTTTGTGTTTTTATAAAATATCAACATTGGAGATATCCAGTAGAAAGTTGAACAGAAACCAAAGAATTCTGATGAAATAATATAAGTTTCCATTTACATTCAATCCTACACAGATTTTTTATGAAAGGTCTAAAAAGAATAAAATCTGTTCAACTTAAGACTAGATATATTGTCCGGCTAAAATATCAAAGAAAAATCGCAAATTAGTTTCAGTTTTTATATTAACTTTTGCTAAATCATCAATGTAAGATGAGTAATTTGCATTGAGACATGATATAAAAAGAAATGAAAAATTGTTCATTTAAAGGAAAGATGATTCTTTCAGGTATTTCTGTAGAAAAACAATCTCAAATTAACAATACACATGAAAGTAAAATAATAATAGACTAAGTCCCGATAAGATTTTTCAGTGATAACTCTTATGTTCTGAGAGTTGATATTAAAAAGTGGAAGCTTGTTTCTTGAATGTTTTATTTTATTAGTTTTTGTTATATCACCTTAACCCTTTCCACACCATAACATTAACTCCTATGCACCTGAGGAAGGCCAAACTGATGTTCTTCTACTCGCGCTACCCCAGTTCAGCCATCTTGAAGGTTTACTTCCCAGACGTGAAATTCAACAAGAACAATACTGCACAGCTTGTGAAATGGTTCAGCAATTTCCGGTAAGGAATTTCTTTATCTTTATTTCTCGTAACAGTTCTCTTTTAACACAATAATCTTTTTTTGCAACATTTGTTGCTGGAACATAATATCATTCCTGTATCTACAATATTATAATGGGAATTAAATTCATTTGTTGTTAAAGGCCCTATCTAAAGTTTCAAGATATGTTTTTATCATTCATTTACTATTTTTCATGACTTTAAAAGTTATTTTAGAGATATTTAAATTTCTTAATTAAGATTTTCTTAATTTTTTCTATAAAAGACACATGAGAATGAATGCTATGCATTGGTGTATTGCTTATTAAAAGATCTAAAATTTAGTTGTAAATAAATTTATGATTTTTCGAACAAAAAGTCCTTCAAAAACCACTTTTTGAAATTCAAAAACAAAGTTTCACATATATCATTTTGATAACATTTGGTAGACAATATAAGCCAAAGTGGTCTAAACTTCATATAAGGCCTTTAACCTTAATGAAAAAACATATTAACCTTTTTCAAAGAATATCCTTATCTATCGTGACTTATGGTGGTCATAAAAATGAAATAGGACATCTTTAGTATTTTCATAGAGTATTTTAATAATTTTGAATATTAAAATAATCTCAATCATATGAGGGTTATGTTTTTTTCAAATATAATTGTCTAGATAATATTTATTTATGAAATGTTCTATCTACGGGTTTGTCTGATTTACATCTGCTGCTAATGCTACTTCAATATTATATTATACAAGTTTTTGTTCTTTGTTGGCAAGGGTACAGTAAATAAAATACATAATTGCTGTTCATATTTATAATAATAAGGATTGATATAGGACCTGGCACTCAACAGGTTAAAGTCAATGGTGTTTTACAAATGTAAAAAGCTTTATTTTCTAACAGCTTTACTGCATATAATGGGGTCTGAAACACTTCTTTTGGTATTCATCATCAATTAAAAGCGATGATATCTTTGATTTATTAAAAGGTATCAGAAGATAAATGATAGGGATATTGCATGCTACCATCAAATGTATCCACATAAAGTCAAAACCTGAGCCCAGGGAACAACTCAAAGCTTACCTAAAGAACAATCCAAAGACATACACCCAAGCCACAAGCACTCCATAACAAATGTGTGAACATAATCACTCCTACATATTTACTCGCTCACAAATTCAAGAAAACAAGTCAGAAATTATTATTTAACATTATATCAAGGATGTCGTTAAGTTCACATGAGTTTTCTCAATATTAGAAGAAATGCAGATTATGTTTTTAATGTCTTGCTGAACTAGTTCCATTTTTACTTTTAAATTTATTTTCAAGAAGCATGACATGTTTGAGATGTTCCCTAGGATAAACCATCTGCTTCTAAGGTCTTTAATCCATTATCCCAACCCTGATCTAATCCAAAGCCTTGCTTTAATATCATTAACGCATCTTTGATCACATTGCTACATTTTTTCTCTATTGAAGCGTTTTCTCTTACTAAATATGATAGACATTTTTGATCTTGAGGGCACACATGATGATATGGTAAAAATAATTTAAGAAAACATCAGGTTTTGTCTGAATCCAAAAATGCAGAAATTTGGAGCATCTTGTGGTTATAACTTTATGTTTTTTCACAAGGGCAAATGTTAAGCATTTTTTAGATCCATTATATCATTGCCACCATACCACACAATCTTTTCAGTTCTAAATCCGTTATGCATTTTGTACCTCATAAAAACTTAATTTTAATTACCATCCTTTGTTAAGCTCTCCATCTCGATGTATAATGATTATTTTTCAAAGATTTAATTAGGTATGTTTTATCCATCATAACAAAGGGTTTGAAATAAACACGGGATACTAATCTTGAATGTTTGTCTTTTTCACATGCAATACCACAAAAAGACAATCATCGAATAACTTTCAGTGAAATAACTCGTAGTAATATATCAAATCCTTAATTCCAGTAATTAATCTTAAGTTTGATTTCACAATACGAGAAATGAACAAGAACCCACAAACATGATGCACTCTTTGTGGAACTAAGACTTATCTGGAGATGTCTTCATTTGAACATTTTATGATTTCAAAGTCACCTTTATGGCTAGTTGGAGTGTCCTAAAGGCACTGACAGAGCCATAAATGCTGACTTGTCTGATAGTGTACCAATCTTGTTTGATAAAGCTCCTATCTTATGTTATAAAGTCCTCAAGTGTGTTTCTTGAACCTTGCCTGTAAATAGGATATCCAAGTAGTCATGAATTTAACTGTTAAAAGAATGAAAAAGACAGGAATTCAAATAAAATAGGCAAAAATGAAGTTTATAATACTCTAAATTGTCTAACAATATAAAATGAGTAATTTTATTCATATATTTTAAAGGGGAACTTACAGTGAAAAAAGCATGAAAAAAAACATTTTGTACATGATTCTGAAAAACACTTCAACCTCTTAGCTTGGGGACAGACACAGAATGCATCAACTGAAATTAAAATTTAATTTCTTTTGTTTAAAGTTCAAGAAAACAGATGCAATGGAGATAGCTAGAACCATATGCTGTTTGGGGTATCATTACCTCTTGATATGCTATTTATTTGAATGCTTAATTATACTTGAGACCAACAATTAAGAATCCTTTTGCATCACAAGGCCAGGTGATTGCAGTCACTTGAGCTACTTTAATCAAGACAAGATGTAACAGAATTTGTTATCAACAAGTCTTGGATATGTTTCAATAGCTTCGTATGCAGATACAGATACTCCAGATAAACCTTTAATCAATCATATGCTGATTTCAGCATGTTATTTTTCTAGAATTGAAATTTGGATATATTTAGTAAAAGATAACTGACAATATGTAACATTTAGAAAATAATGGTTGTGTTGTGATGCCCTGGGTGCTCTCATTGAATATGTTGCAAGAAATGTAGTCTATAGGCAGGAAGTAAGCATGTTATGTTGTAGAAGATCATTTGTATCCTTACAGCCCTTATCACTTGTTTATTTCATGTTGACAACTTATCACTGTAGCTTTGATGTTAAGATATATTGACTCAGCAATTTAAGGTAAGATAAAAGCTTAACACAAAAATCTTAGACTTAAAAGACCCTCTTAAAACTTTGGGTGGAACGATTGAGAATTTGACCACCATTTTGAAATGAGGTTTTATCTGAGAGTGGGTACTTCTCATCGTTTCAACTTTTCAAGTAGTTTAAGTCCATATTTCCTTATATATTAGAGAAAATGAAATTTTAATTTGATTCTTGAGTTACTACAAACTTAATTTAATTACATATGTGTATTATCAGTTCATTCATAAAATCAATTTATAACTATTCACATCTAGAACATTTTTTATCATATTTAGAATTATTATCATAAATAGTTTTTACAAACCTGGTATATTTATTTGATAAATTATAGAAATTTGTATGGAGATGTTTATAAACAATTCACAAATAAAGCACAAGTAAGCTTCATATGATTCTGCAGAGGTGATCAAAATTATTTTAATGAGATAGGTTATTGATCTGATGAATAGTTCAGGTCCCCTGCCTTGAGACAATTCCTTATTCACATTGCTTGGGACAATGAGTGGAACAATAGGGCCATGCCATGATATACCGAGGCGCAACTTGGTCTAATTTCTTTTTTTTAATCTTTAATTAAGTCTTCTTTCTCTGAGACATGACATTGTGTATACATGTACAAATGATATATCCATCTTCTTGAATCCATGTTGTCTTGTCCTGGATATGATTATGGATATATTTCATTGGTGAAAGTAAAAATGATCATAATACCAGCAGGTTACTGATATGAAAGATCAAATCATTGAAGTTATAATGTTGAAAATATTCTATGAATTATTCATTCAAAGATACTGAACCAGTAGTATATAAGTAGTATGTAAAGGAGACTTGTTTTCTGTAAGCATATCTGAGATGAATCTCATATGTGATGAAAAATTCAAAAAACATAACTTTTGTGTTCTTAATCAGGTTCAGAGGACTCATGCTTCATCTTTATCTGTGCTAACTATATATTTGCTGTGTAAAAGCATTGTTACATGTTTTCAAGTCCCTGTCCACTCTCACTTGTGACTTCTGGCCATCCAATGTAGTCCAAGTATGGAACAGTGCCACCAAGTGGCAAATTACTAGTATATCCACATCTGAGTTATCGCAGTCATATTAATTCATTGGCTCACACAGTGAGCCTATGGGATCGTCCAGGCGTCCGTCCGTCCGTTGGTCCGTCCATTGGTCCATCCGTCCGTCCATCCGTCCATCCGTCAACATTGGCCATACAAATTAAAACTGCTATTCGGATTGAGTCATATCCACATTCATTTTATGCATATCCATAATGCCTATTTGACCTATCATTGCCATTTCCCAAGTTTGGCCGGTTTCCGAGAAATTGCAGATTTTGACGTCAAAAAGTCAAATTTTCTGTAAATACTAGAGACTTTGTTGAAGAAGAAGTTTCAAATAACTTATAGTAGTTGCTGTATATTCATGTTTTGAATATTATTCATTACATCGTAGAATATCATTAAAGAATAATACAAGTGTAGATTTATATTTGAAAAGAATGATCTTTTAGTAATATGAAGAATTCATAGATAAATGTTTTATTCGCCATTAAGTGTAACAGGTTTCTATTAAACAAAAAAATGATGTCCATCCTGTATATATCTATGGAGATGGATTTACTGGCATAGTATTTTTTATTTATGTTGTCTTCAAACATATTTATTTGAATTAGGTGGGGGGAAATGGTTATTGTTGTACATACTCCATTTATATTTATCCCATCGAACGAAGTTCGGAGGGATATAGGGAACGCCTCCGTCCGTCCGTCCGTACGTACGTACATCCGTCCGTACGTACGTCCGTCTGTCTGTCCGTCCGTCCGGGCAATAACTCAAATACCGTTGGCCCGATTTTGTTCATATTTTGTACACATATACCCTATGGGGGTAGAAGTTCTGCTCGAAAGCCGATTTTCAAAAT